AGATCCCTAAGCACCTGAAAAAATAATCAGAACTGTTTTCCATGGCAACATCAAATTAAGAGTTGAGTGCTGCCCGATGGAGAATACTCTGACCTTAGAAAAAGGAAGATAGAAAAAGCAAGAAGTAAAAGATACCCCTCAGAGGCTGACAGCTCCTCTGCAATTGCTGTGCTTTTGTACTCCTTCCAAATACCAGCAGAGGAAAGTGATGACAGGACACAGCAATCTGTAACAGCAGCACATTTAAACACGCCAACATGAAAAAATAGCTTTTCCTTAAACACACCATGATGGCTTGGAAATTCTAGTCTGTAGTCCTCGACCTTAGTACCATGTCATAGACACTAAAATTGTTGCTAAGTGCTATTTACAACATATGTGAACATATGTGAACACTATTTCATCTATCTTCTGGGGAGGGAAACAATTTCCCCTAATAGACTAATGTGTTTGTATCATTACTATTCAGTCAGATGCAGACTACTGTTAACTCCATAACAAGGAAGACTCCTTTATGAGGCTGCAGATAACATACCCACTGAGGAAACCTTCAGGTTTTGGTTTGACCTTTCTGAATTCATCTGATTGGTTTCTCTTTGAAAATGAGCTTAAAAAATCTATTATCAATTATGTTCTCTCACCACTCTTTTTAATATAAGGAGGCAGAGAAAACATCATAAGCTATATTACTTAAGTCATGATGGAGAGCTTTGCCCTTTCAAAAGTTTGAAATCCAGTTATTCAGAAAATATTTGGACTGGCCATCATTTTTCTTGACATCATTAAAGCAGGATGTATCTGATCCTGTCTTTGCTTACCAGGGGTGTAATGTGAGCACCCAGAGTTTCTGACTCTCTTGAGCAAGAAATTCCCAAGCCATTACTTACAGGGAAGTGGAAAGGGAAGAGAAGGCTGAATTCTGTGGCCCAAAGCAAGGCAGCTGGTAAACTGTAGCTATGTAATGCTTATCATCAGTTTTACTGCAGATTTGAACTTGCTAGTTCCAGTTCTATAAAGCTCCCAGTGAGAAGAAATGAGACTGAAGTGTCTTCATTCATACTAACGTACAAAGGAAGTTGTTCCCTTTTTCCACATGTAAACTAAATGCCTCAAGAAACACATCAAGTTAAGGAGTGAAGAAGGAGATTAAAAATTCTTGTTTTCTCTGGGTATTATTCCCAAAAGAGATAGAAGTTGCTTCTTTGACACTTAGAGGACAGTATCCTGAAAGGTGAAACAGCCCCAGGATAGAGTTTTAAATCAGACATTCAGGTTAATCACAGTGTGACCCAGAGGTCAGCATTTCCCTAAGCACAGATACACTGTGGTGGGGTGACTGGCTTGTGTGCTACTGTGGAGGCCAAAAACGGGAGGGAACTCCAGGACATGGCAGAACACGTTCCACTGTAAATGACCTATAAAAGGAAGAGTTATCTAATTCTGAAAAGGTACAGGGTGGAGAGAATATGGTTTTAATTTTAATTAGAGAAGCAAGCAGTTCAGTAAATTCCTACCCACTGCATTAGAAGGGACTAACTTGAACCAAGTGTGAAGGTGAAGCTAAGGAAGAGGGAACACATACTTGAGAAAAGTTTTGTTAAACATAAACCCTGGATAATCCATTCGGAACCTTCAAGAGTATCAGCTGGAAGCAACCAAGGTAATAAACATCTATCCTCTAAATTGTCATTCCTAAAATACATGCTTGGCAAAAAAAGGGTTGAATACTGCATTTATGGCTTCTTGGGCTGCAGTAACAGCTGCAGGCTTTTCAGAGCTCTTTAACACAGCCTGCCAAGAAACAATATGATCATTGATTTTATGAACTGATAAGAGTGAGGGAATTTGTCTTAGAGGACAGGTGCTTCAATCCATGAACCTATCAATTCATCAATGCTTTGTAAGAACCTTTATCTTTTCTTGTTGCTCCAAAACAAAGTGACAACAGAATGCTCAAATACTTTAAATGCTTATTCTTGAAATTACATCAAGAAGTTTCTATCCGCCTTTCTGTGAAATTTTAATCTAAATCAAAGAAAGGCATGAAACTTTGATTTAACATGAGATTTGACTTTTTTTTCTACCCATGGACTTAGCTGTCAGGACAATACTGTCAAGGTGAAAAATAACAGATAATTGCAAAAATATTTGCTTCTTCTTCTCCACATATGATTGACATACAGCCAAAAGCACCACCAAGGAAGAGAATTTTGTATTGAGAAAGATAACTGAACAGTAAGTCAAATAAGGACCTTTCAGACACTGCACAGTCAGTGAATACTCAATACTTTCATAAAAAACACATTAATTTGTAAGAACTCATACCACCAAGTAGTTTACCTACATCAAAGCATGCTTCTCCCCCTAAGTTAGGAACCCACAACTGTTTTAGTGTCTCTGAGGACAAAGAACTCTTCAGGTGGAACAAAGAAATTTAGGCATCATTTCTTTTAAAAATGGATTCTCTGTTCTTTATCCTTCATGTATTAGAAAATCTGTACTGTGTTCAACTGTATGTGAAGGGGGAAAACAGCTCACAAACTTCTCACATCAGGGAAATAAAACTCCATGGACAGTTTCTAATAATTCCTGAAGTCTCTGAAAGACCTACTACTATTATTACAAACAGCAGGTGGGAGAGGAAAGCTCTCACATCTGGGATGCAAAGCAGAGAACATACAGCTGCAAAGTGAACCTTGTCTGAAGGACTCAAACTCTTCAGTTCTCAAGAGGCACCAGCAGGAACAAATGCAGTCTTATCCTCACTGCATGAGATTTTCTGGTGGTGGATTTTGTGAAACCCAACTATTCCTGTATCTAAAGTCATTAATCAAAACAGAAGAAAGCCATAGAAAGGCTGAGGTTCTGAAATATTTTTATGAGGCTGCATTCTTTAAAGCAGAACACCAGCTCCAGAAATGAGGCCAGAGAAATGAGTGGAGGAGAAAAAGGATCCATGTCTGTAGATTACTTGGTGCTAAGAGCAGTCCTAGCAATCATCCTCAGCCCTAAAGAGCAAACTTCTGGTGTGATATTAGGTGGTAAACCTGGGAAACCATAAAGATGGCTTGATGGGTCTATAGTAGTTTCACTTGAAAGGATGAAACACCACTTATTACCACTTTTCCTCCTTAGATTTAACATCCTTGTGACTTTGTATCTCAGCAGTTGCTACCCTTTAGCTTCTATTCACCACAGGCTTGAAAAATCTCAAAACTGGCACACAACACACAAGAAAGGTGTTTTTTTATCTTGGGCCAGATGTCAGTGGTGTAGTGGCCCCTATTTCAGGTTGGCTTTGTTTCTACAACCATCTTCCCATACATGTCAACCACCAATGCTCTACTACTAACATATATCATTAACTTGCCCTCCCAAGAAGTGCATGGATCTCACCAACAGATATTCCACCAGGTACCAGTAACAATCTTTCTTTACTCAAAAGCAAGACTGAGCATTTGTCTCCAGTGGAACTGTAACCATGAATGCACAGTCAGCAGAAACAGTGCAGGTGTACAACATCTAAAATTAGAAAAGATTATCACATTTTAAGTCTGCGAACAAACTTCAGTGTCACTAGGGTAATGAAAATTAATCTCCTTTGCAAGAAGTGTTATCTGTCAGGGACAGTTTTCTCTACCTATCTCAAAATTAAAATTTAGAGTTTAGAGAATCTTTCAAAAATTACACTTAGAACACAGAAGTTGCAAGTGAATTGATCTTGTTTGCTATGTTTTGCTAATTGGTACTGTTTTCTGTGTTCTGCTTAATCTAAAATTAGAATAGCCTCTCCAGATATTAGATGTTTATAAATTTCTCCTGACAATATGCAGCCAGTTCTTCAAAACGTAAGACACCTGTTGGAAACTGAATTTAAAAATTACTTTTAGTCTTAAATGTCATGTTTGCAATAGGTTGCAGAAGATAGACACACAGACAATAAAAAAGTAAGAATAGTCATTAAATCACTTCTCTGTAGAGAAAGGTCTATTATACTAATTAAATACATAAACCATTAGAGCTTCTAGCTGAAGTCTAATGATCTCTCCATCAGTCAACATTATAAATTAGAACTCTTTAGGCATGGCAATAAAGATGCTACTGTTTCAGTACAAAAGCAGTATGGTAAAGCCTCATCAAGTTTTCCACCAGGGAACCTTTTGAAAATCTCAATTCATAAAGCAATTAGCTATACATTTTGATTTTAGAGATGCCCTCAGCAGTGAACTTTCTCTCTCCTTCAGCCCAGAGCGTTTTGACCTCATCTCCCAGGAAAGTATCATCCCAGAGCCTGCAGAAATCTTCCACTGCCTGATTTCCAAGCTCACACAGTGCCACCAATATCCTGAACTGAGCATGACTTACTGCACATCAAAAGTCAGAGAAACAGTGCTGTTTAAGAACATACTCTTTTTTATTCTTCTTTGACTAAGAGCTTTCCTGATTCCAGTAATATCAGACTCACAATATTTTATCATATGCCATAAAAAACATTCACCATATCCACAATCTCAATACCCTTTCAGAAACAACAGACATGCAGTCCCTTGGCCTGCCCTACGCTCCTGTTACACATATTAAAGGTTACCGCTTCCAACACTTTAGGCTTAAATTCTGATTTTAAAATCTGTAGGGTGGTTAAAAAATATGCAATATGTCTTTAAGACATGTTCCAAATGTAAATACAAACTAGTTATTACAAATTAGTGTTTCCAAGGTTATAGAGTAATGTTGTGTATTGAAAATTTCTGTCTGCAATTATTTTGTATAATACACATTGATTCTGAAGGTTAAATATATAAATTCTGCATGAGCATCAAATTCTCAAGCACAATCCCTACAAATAAATTAAGTGTTCCACTATCTCAAAACTTTGCGAAAAATAAAAAACTGTACACTGAAGACTCTCACATCTAGGTACAAGAAATGGTACAGGCAAGATGAAAGCTGTTTGGTTCCTTGCTATTGCAACATAGCCAGAAATTATTTGAGGAACTTACTATTTTCCAAGCAGAATCTTGGAGAGATCCTGTTCAAAAGAAGTTCCTGTTGTAATCGAAGAACTTCAGCTTCCAGCACTTCCACTTTCCATTTCCATCCAAAATCTTGTTCGGATACAGTTCTGGCAAGGTACTCTGTGTATTCTTTGGAACTCTTCCCTGGTGGTTTTGAGTGGATAATTGCAAAAGCCAATGCTAGTTTTGATATTTTCAAATACGAAATCTGATTTTCTCTTCCGCCTTTGATTTCTATTGCATTAGAAAAACAGAAAAAAAAAGGTTACTTCACTATGACTCCATTAAGGAAATGACACAAAATATTTTCTTGGCTTTAAAGACTGTTCAACAGTGAGGCCAATTCTTTAATTTCTAGTGCATTCCTAAATCATCAAGAACAGAAATACAAGCATCTGTGCACAATGTGAGAACAGAACATACATGAGCTGCAGTCAGCTATAAAAATAAAATTCAGCCAGTGTCTGAGAATAACTGTGGAAATAGTAAGCACTTCAAATAGGCTTATCCTAGCATAATTTTAATGCAAATGTTATCTCCACTAAAGCAAGGATGAAGAAAGTAAAAATACTAACCCCAAAAAACCCACCCTGATACACCCTCCCCCTCAAAAGAATTCTGACATGACAGAAAAATTAATTTGGGGCTATTTATACTTAAATAAAATACATGTAATTTCTTGAAAGTGTACCAGAAGGTCTCAGTGCTCAAAACATAAAACTTTGAGGTTGTGTTTGGTTTTGGACACCTGGTATTGGTGCCCTTGTAGTTTTAAGTTTATATTAAGCCTCAAGCCTGCAGAAGGCTAAGCAGACAGCATCAAAGGGATGCAAGTGGCTAGTAAGGTAAGTGAAGAAGACAATTTCATAAGCTTTGTTACAAACAGTGAGAATGGGGCAAAAGGCATTAAAAGAGTCAGAGAAATAAAATATTTAAATAGATGATTACATCATGTGCAACAGCACAGGGCCTAGGAGCAGAGAAGGAAAAAATTAAATTACAACCAACTAATATCAACCAGCCTATCTAATTAGCAAAGTTACTTTTTTCCCTAATTCCACACCATTTCATTCAGTTGTTTGATGAATTCTTTTCCTCAAAAAATATCACTCCCAAAATAATAATTTAAGGAAAAAAAATCACTTCCTTCACTTTTGCCCTGACCTTGACATCTACAATTTTCTCACAATGCTGTTTTTTTCTTGTTATCCATCAAAGCTGCAGGTTAAGCATTAATAACTTGTGTTGAACTGCTCTGAAATAGTCACAGTAAAGGTTTGCAAAAGGTATTTTAGGTCATCCTTTCACCAGATCATCTGCTATCACTAAGCTGATTTCTTCCTCTGGTTGTACTTGACTTTAGATAGGAAGTCATAAATCATCGAATATTCATTTATCCATCAGGGACACTTACAGAAGTCACTGTTTTTTATGTGTTTCTTTCACCTTTCAAATACTTCTGAATTGCACAAAGAATTCCTGGGTACTCCTTGCACTCTGTCCATTCAGACACAGCAGCCAGTTAAGACTTTACATAGTACAGAGCACAAAGGACAAGAGTGCAAACATTCCTTGGGATTGATTTACCTACTGCCATATTTTAAGCTACTCTTCTCCACTTGAAATATTCCATTTCTGTCATTTGTCAGGGCAAAATCACCTAATCTAAGCCACCTGTGCATTCTTTAATTAAATAGTAAGCCTTTAGAGACTGAACTATACTATATATATCCTTTACTTAAAGCAGTTATACGTTAAATGGTACTTTTGCAAAATTTCTGATAAAGAAAATCTTTTTCATACAACTTTTCAATTAATATCTAGAATTTCAGTGAAAAGCAGAAGGTAATTCTCTCAAACTCAAAGGATTAGCACCTCTGGGACAGCAAGCTGGTGTAAGACTTTTGCTTGCCCTATACATGAAAGGAAATGTTTACAAATACAAAAGCATGCAAGTAAATGAACTGCCTTCAAAACTGTGAATAAAATGAAATATGTGGAGCCACACTGAAAGAAGATTAAATAGTAACAATAAGGTATCTAAAATATTTGGCTTTGAATCTGAAAGGTGCTTCCCAGATTATCTCATCAATAGAAATTTCACCCAGATGTTACTCAAACGGGGTCTGTCAAGCTCCATTCTTACAAAGTCCCCGTGCAGAGCAGAATGATAAATTAGGGCAGGCAGGAAAATGTCTTACACTGACCCTTTAACATTTTGGTACCTCCAGAGACCGCTCTGCCAAAACTTTCTGATTCATCTTCCTTTTAAGGACAAACACATATTTACTTTCTGCTTCATAACATGCTTTGCCAATGTAAGTTTTCTCCTTTAAATTACATTCACAGAAGTTGCAAAATGACCAACATTCCAGTATGGACTGGGAAGTGGTATTTGTGCCAGCATGAATGCCTTTTATCATCAGAGTCACCACCAATACATCATTATTGCATTCTATTTCTCCTTACAGGACATACTATTACAAAGAAAATACAAAGTTTGCTGTCTGGCCACTGACATATTACCACTATGCTATCAGTATAAAATGCTGCTTTGGTAGCATTTTTTGACCACCCATTACCAAAATGAAGAGAGTCACTTTTTCATTTTATCTGGAAAGTGACTACTATGTTTCAAGCATAACAAAAACCTTAGTGCACAAGGTAATGGTACAATGGGGGGAAATAAAAGGATCTTTCAACTGCAACATTTCAAAAAGACTTTTTCGAAAACAGATGTATCCCTAGTAAGTCAGATAAACCACATAAACTATTACCAAATTTTGCTTTGAGAATCTTAAATAGCATTCCACCTTAAGACATACATTTAATTAATTAATTAATTTGGAGTTTGAGGGAGGCCTTTTCCTCTTTAACATCTTATACACAGTCACTTCTACAGTATGAGTGCCTTACACTGAATGAGTTTAGGTAGATAGACTTACTTTGGAGGAAAAAAGTCACTACTTTTCTGGAAAAATTACTTGTAAAGATGTTGTTAGAAAAAACCCCACCAGCAGGACAGATCACAGAACACAGCTGGTTCTTCTTAGGAACAAGTCACAGCATAGTTTTTGGAGAAGTCATTCTGTTGGATCACAAAATCTCTAGTTTAAAAGCAGAAAATTTATGCAAATATCAATATTCCTAGATGTATTTTGAGAAAGAATGGATTTCTTAAAGATTTTATGGAGAATAAACAGCTCTTTCACTTGCTTTTTGTTACTGACACTATCACCATGTCTCTTTATTTCTTTCCTGATTAGGAAAAGAGAAGTTTGTTTATCAAAAAGCAGAAGTTCTAAGAGTTGATTGAGGTTTTTCACCATTCCCCTAAAGGAAGAACTGCTCTCTCAGAAACTACTATGTAAGTCTTCTAGAAAAAACCACACCGGATGACACTATTAGAAATATGGTGATGCGGGCCAACTGTGCATTAGCAAAAATTGCACAGCAATCTGTTGCTCTCAGGAAGTGCTGAACCACCAAATATATTCCACTGAAAGCATATTGGCAGCTACAGAGTTTTATCAATAATGTTTTTGCTCCTATCAGCACAGAAATTACACCACTGGTTAGGCAGAAAAGTTTTAGAACCAGACCAAAGAGTTTCCTTGTCTGAGAACAGTACCCGACCAAGAGCAGAACGGAGTCCCTGTTTTATTCCAGGTGCTAATCCCAAAATATCTCTGACATAAAGAGAAAGAGAAAGGTTTAAGAATTATCCAAAGCTTCACTCCTGTGATTCCTCACTGTTAAGGAGAGAACCAGTAATCCCTTGCAAACTCTGCTGGAAGCAGGGCTCAGCACCCTAACAACAGATACCACCGGGTGGCAGGTTCCCTATGCAAACCCCTTAAGCCACAAACTGACACTGGAAGACCACTCAGAGGACACGATGGATTAACAACACTGTTGAACAGGGCTAAGTCTACAGATTTCCAACACAAGAATGACATTCCACGCTTCCAGCTCTCATGCAGAGAGAGGGTACTGAGAACCCACAGATCTGCTGAGATCCTAGCCCATGGAAGGCTGCTGAGCAATTATTCACCTGCTGTAATAATTACAAAAGAAGTGATGAACCGTCATGAACAGCTCTGTGTAACATAACCAAGGGGAACTGACATGTGGTGCAAGATCCATTGAAGACCTCTGATATAAGCAGGAAACAGGATAACAGAAAGAACCAGGATAAATCTGATTCCTAAGCACTACCCTAATTCACCAATCTGCCTGTGCAGTTTTGCAGGTGCATTTGATGCAGCAGCTCATGTTGAGAGAGTGAAATGTTAAGGGTTAATGACTCAAAGAATTGGCCATTTGCAGAAGGTGAATCCTCACCTTAAGAAATCTTTCAGGGATGTTTATGGGTAAAGGAAGTGAACTTTATATACTTTACTTTTCCAAGTGGCACATAGGTCAGTTCTCACCGACCTTGTAAATGGGTAAATCACACAGAATGGGGGGAAGCTACTGAGTTATGCTATGATTTAAAATTATAGGGTACCTCGAACCAAACCTCAAACCTAAATTCACTCGGAATAATTCAACACTGGAGTAATTATCAGCACTGTCAAAGAATTATAGACCTCAGGTGTGATTTGCAAATTTGGCAATGAAATTCATGGCTAATAATGGAGGACACTGCTGCAAATGTCATAGACAAAACCTTATTGATTACGTCAAGACACTCATTTGTTATTCAGACCACTATCATATGAATTAAAAAATTATTTCAAAAATTAATAGCATAAGATACAAAATAGACTGTAATTCATATAACTTCCAGGCCATTCCAGAGCTCGGTTTTATCCACATGTGAAATTTTTATTTAAAAATAAGAGGATTTGTCAGGACAGAAACAAATTGCTGTTTACCACTACTATACAGCTAAGAATCTTCAGACAGCCCTAAAAATAAAAGAAAGAAAGAAAAAAAAAGCTTTTCCGAATAAATTTAAGAGTATGGTCTGTCCTTAAAGGTACAGACATTTAAGGAAAATCTGTTTTGTTACCATGATTTTACTTTAACTAGTCTGTCAATTACACAGTGTAAATAACGGTGAAAAAATCACCCACACCTTTGTAACCTCATCTGCTTTATGCAATAGAAACCAAGATATTGACTCATTATGATGGAGCACAAAATGCTGCAATTGCTGTAGTGGAACTGGGCTGAGCTCAGAGACATACGGCCACAACATTAAGCAACAATAAAATAAACTTGATTAA